CACACACACACACACACACACACACACACACACACACACACGCACACACACACAAACACACACACACACACACATTATAATAATCTTTCATCGCATGACTCCACACTTTCTCCCTAATATTTCCTCAGTACCATAAAAACCCTTCACTATTAATCTCTTGCCTTAACCCCCCTTCGACCCCTCGTTTGTGCCGTCCTTGGGGGCGTTTGAGAGTTAATCTCTCTGCTTCTGACAATGGTCGAAACGTCTGGGTCGTTTATGACGACTCTTACACCATCCCGCCGAGATCCCACGCAAGAGACGACGTTTCACGACGCAAACCGCCCATTCGACGTGTTGAAACACTCCGTAACAAATTACTATGTGATTTAACTTAACTTTACCGCCGACTGATAGGACGTAAGGGTGGAATAAAATCTATAAAACTTTATTGCATTCCATTGTCTCTTCGGGATTTATAATTGTGAAGTCTGAAGTTGTAATTTAAGGTCTCTTAGACAGTGTTATGAGTATGGAAATTCTCTGAAGTTTAAATCTAGAGCTCGTCTTTTCATTTTATGTGTTTTCGTTTGTTTGCGAAAAACTTGCAGTTTTTACCTTTTTGCTGTTTCAAAAGGAAAAAGTTCAATCAAGCAGAAATGTGTTATTTAATGGTCGAATTTTTTTACCTGTTCATTTCCCACGCGGCGACGTCTATGTTCTCTAGTGTCTCCATCTGTCTGATGGCCCAGATAGGCATTGCCAAAGCAGCCAGCCACTTGAATGACTCAAATTGTGTTAATGGCAGCTTAGACAATTACTATAATTCACTATCGATCACTTTTTACGCTCTCACGAGAGGAAAATAGACTAGAAAATAGTCTTTTTTTGTTAACCTATTTTCTTTTCGTATTCTTATTGCCCCGCACAATCTCTCCCCCCCCCCCAAAAAAAAAAATAAAATAAAAAAAGATTTAAAAAATAATGGTGTATCTTGGTATCAATTATCAATTAAACAGGTCAGTGATTGATTCCCCACCCCATTTACGTCAACTGACGATCGGATAATAATGATGAGACGCCTTCAGTTACTGAATTGAGCAACTCCCTTTCAGAGCCACCTCACCCCACCGCCCGCCGCGTGAGGGTGAAGAAAACATACTCGCAACATGAAACTTCAATGTGTTTAGTCTACCGAGGAAGTCTCTCGTCTAAAAAAAGAACTGCTTTGTGACTAAAAGCTTTATAACCATAACTTGAAAAAAAGCTCATAATTCGAGTGCCGCTGAAAAATAAACCGAATTAAAGAAGTCTACAATCATTGATTTTATATCCTGTTTTCGGACCAAATGTTTCAAGTCGTAAGGGTGAAAGATTCCACTAATGATCCAAAGAAAACAGAACGCAGACACAACTGCCCCCTCTCTAAATAATAAAAACCTAAAGTTGAAATACTGTAGTAAAGCCATTTTCTCACAAGGTCCTTCCTGGGTTTGTCACCCCGAAGGGCGTTGTCTAGAAAATAGTAGTACGTGACCGGTGTTTGTGGGTGTGTGGGAAGAAAGAGATAGGGAAGGGAGGGCAGATTTTGTTGTTGTTGAAAAGAGATCATAATCTTGTCTCTTTTGTTTCGTTTGATTTATAGTGTTGTAGCTGTTGCTATTTTGGAAACCTTTAGCCATAACATTCCAACTTAAACAATATTATCGATTCGCGGTGCTCTCTCTGACCCTGTCCCTGTCCCTATTTCTGTCTGTGTCTGTGTCTTTCATTCTCCCTCATCGTCTCTCTCTCTCCCCTTCCTTTTCTCTCTGCCCTTCCCTCTCTCTTTCTCTCTCTCTCACTCTCTCTCTCTATCTTTTATGCTCTCTCTCGTCCCTCTACTTCTTTCCTTTTACCTTCACATCTCTCTCATTCTCTCCCTCTCTCTCCCTCTCTCCACCCCCCCTCTCTCTCTCTCTCTCTCTCTCTCTCTACCCCTCACACTTTGTTATCTCTCTCTCTCTCCCAGCAAGTGTTAACGTATTATTTCCATTTTTTTCAGGTTGGCGACACTCAGCAAGAGTTATCCTTCCTGACCGTTCTGCAACATTTACTGAAGATCGACAGCGGAAATGACGCGCTGGGAGAGACCATCTGGCAAACTGTGGAGCGTCTGGTTGGTAAGGCAACCGTACTTGAATCCAAAGAGGATGCACAGAAACTATTGACGTCACTCACACGCCGTCTGGACGGCCGAGACAGAGACAGGTCATCCTCGAGCTCGTCTGCCGCTCGCCAGAGACGAGAGTCCGTGGAATCGCCAGCACCGCTTGTTCCAAATACAACCGTAACTGCAGCGGCACTAGCAGCAGCAGCTGCTGCAGCAGCCAAGTCGTAC